TTAGCCCTGCGTAAAGAGAAAACGAGACAAAAGAAAATTGGTAATAAAATTGATTTTCAATCTACGATATGCACAAATAGTTCCAGCGGTTTTAAGAATAATAATATTGTTCCTTTTACTCAAAGCAATTCAAAGACTGAAGACAGCGTGGATATTGATAATAGATCATGTTATAAATATAAATGTATAGCTAAAACTGTTTGTAAGAAAAAAGACTTAAGAAAGAAAACTAAAATAATAAAACGTAAAATCGGTAAATCTAAAAAGAAAAACAAGAAATATGTTACTTCTGAAACTGTTAGAGAAAAAACTAAAGAGAGAGTAAGGCGTCACAGAGCAGGTTTAAGTGAAGAAGAAAAAGAGAAGAAACGAGAGAGGGATAGGGAATATCGAAGGGCTAAGCGATTAAAAGATCCGTCATTTATAGACTTATCCGACAGGGAAAGAATAAAGTTGAAAAAGACTTGGAGAGACAGTAAACGAAAAACTAGATCTCGAATTAGGAAAGAAAAACTACTCGAAAACGTGCTAAATGAGAAAACTCCACCTGATTCTCCAGAGAGTCTACGTGCGGAGAGTAATGATGTTATTCAGATGGAGATTTGTCGTACTTCTTCTCCTATCCCTATAGAAAGGGCACTTGCATCACCACCTGGGAATCAAAATAACAACACTGAGATAATAAGTCGCACTAGTTCTTCTAGAAAATTATGCGGAAGAAAAAAGGTTTCCCGAGAAAGATCTCAAGTTTTTCGCAAATTAATCAAGACTGAAGAAAAGCTGAAGGAAGCCGAACTAAAACTTAAAAATTATAAACGCCAAATTGATAAGTACAAAAAAAGATATGAAAGAATGAAAAATAAAGTAAATAGTTCCGAAAATCAAGTAAATATCATTGATTCTCCATCTCCACGCACAAAGGTTAGACAAATGTTAGGCAACAAGCCAGTGTTCGAAAATGTCAGAAAGAAATTCTAATTAGGCGAAATAGTCACTTCAGAATTAACAAAGAAAAAGAAAACATCTGGCAAAAAAAGGAAACAAATTATTGCCGAACTGGTGTCTAATAAATATTTTAAAAAGTACAGGCGATTAAATGCGGCGAAGGGATTGTTGGATTATAATGATAGAAAAAATATTGCAAGTGGAAAACTATTTACCTCTATAAACAAAAAGAAAAATACAAAATTGATTCGAGAACAGGAAAATATATTGAGATTTCTACAAGATGACCAGAACTCAAGAATGTGCCCTGGTAAAAAAGACCACAAAAGAAATCAACAAAAGAGATTGCTGTTGATGTCCATGAAATATATTTTTACCAAGTACAAACATCAATATAAGTCGACTATTTCATACTCTTCTTTTTTAAGACTTCGGCCTACATGGATTGTTCAGCCCAAGCTAACAGATAGGGATACTTGCCTATGTGTTAAACATGCAAACTTTGAATTTTTACTTCACAAAATGTACCAGTTAAAGATAATTAAGAGCAAAAAGCTAGATTCTGTGTGTTCAATATTTTGTTGCAATATTATCGACAAGTCCTGTATGTATAGGCAATGTAGGGAATGCTCTAACAAAAAAATCGACGTAAGCACTGATCTTTTAAGCACAATGCACACAGTTATGCAGTGGAAAAGAATAAGTGAAATAAGACAAATAAAAGGAAAAGATAAAGAAGTACATAGAATGGTTAAAGGATGTAATCAAATTTCGGTAAAAGATATGATGGTAATGTTCGAAAAGCAGGTGGCACCGTTTCTAAAACACCAATTTAACATGTGTCATCAGTATAGAGAAATAAAACAAAAAATTGCTTCTTTGGACCACAACGAAACTTTACTAAGAATCGATTTTTCCGAAAATTTTGTATGCAAGTATCATGCTGAGGCACAAGCTATGCATTTTGGAGCTTCTAAGGTACAATTGTCTTTACATACTGGGGTTAAATACACAAAATCGTTTGGTAATATTAAAACAACTTCATTTGCAACTTCTTCTGATTGCTTAGATCATGGTGCACACGCTATATGGGCACATTTAAACCCCATTCTTTTAAAACTAAATGAGTTTCCCGAAATTGATACTATTCATTTTGTGTCAGATGGGCCATCGGCACAATACAAAAACAGATATAATTTCAGTATATTAACCCAAAAGCTTTCTCAAATTTGCCCTTACATAATAAAATGTAGTTGGAGTTTTACTGAAGCAGGGCATGGGAAAGGACCCATGGACGTCGTAGGCGGTGTTCTTAAAAGAACAGCGGACAAGTACATTTGTAGAGGAAATGATGTCACCACGGTATATCAGTTCGTAACCCTTCTACAAAAGGCGTGCCCAGGAATTTTTTTGTTTCAAGTAAAAAGTTCTGACATTGAAGAAATGAAAAGTTTCATTAAAGGCAAAATTCCTGCAATTCCCAAAATTATGCAGCTTCATCAGATAACATGGACAAAGAGTGAGGGAAATTCAATTTATCTCCGTGAACTTAGTTGCTTTAAATGTGACTTTAACGCAGTTTGTTTGCACCATACATTAGGCAAAGGAAAAATTTCGTTTAACAATAAAGCATCTAGTTCAAATTATTCACAAGCATTTGAAAATAATTCGCCAATTGTATTAACACCAGTTATAATACCAAACGATTCTGATAACCAAAACAGTGTACAAAGGGTTGGTGAAGATTGGATTGCTGTTGTTTATGGTTATCAATGGTATCCAGGTGTGTGAACATGGATACGTAGATTGTATTAATAAAACTAAATATATTTTCTTTTCTAGGTGTTATCCTAAAATCTTTAAAAGAAAAACTGAAAGTGAAATTCATGGCTCGTCACGGTGGTTGTTTTATTTGGCCCAAAAAAACAGATATACAAGATATCGATAAAAAGGAAGTTTTATATTACATAAAAAAGCCACCTTTTGAGATACCAGGTTCAGCAAAAAATGCTCGTTTTCAGTTTCCGGAATCTAGCATCATTGACGAATGTTTGAAAAATGCTTTTCAAAATTAAATCTTATTATATATTTTTTTGTTAACTTAAGTTAATTTGTTGTGTCAGATACTAATTAAAGTCAGTAATTATAATGTGTAATTTTACTTTAAATTACGGCAGTGGATTTTATTATATTCCAGACAATATACAATATATGTAGTCTAGTCGGTAACGTAAATGTCCTATCGGTAACGCATAATATTATAATTATTATTTTTAAATACTGGTTATTCTTTGTATTTTTTTATATTTTTATTTATAAGTTATAAATACAGTGTATCAAAAACCGAGAATAATACACGTTTACAAGTCAGATTTCTATTTTTTTATGAAACTATAGATAAAAATGCCACAAGTTTTTATAATTTTTACATTATTTTAGATAATTTAAAAAAATATCGGTCAGATATCCAAATAATATGTTTTGATTTTAATGGTATTTACTAAAAGTATTTTTTTAAACATATATTTTGATTATTATTCCATTTACAGAACCTTTATTCCCGACAAACTATACTGTTACCGACTAGACATAATTGAGATCAGAAGACAACAATTATCAACATAACAAAAAAACTACCTTTCCTTGATCTCAAAGATTAGCTTTATTATGTTGCGAAATCTTTATTTTAGAATATTAAAAAGTTTAATGGACAAAAAGCAACATTTTAGTTTTTTAATTGTTGTAGGTCGCTTTCCAAAGATTTTTTGATTTTCACCCTTATAATATTAGCAGTATATTTGCACCGAAAACTAACCCCAGTAGCACAAAATATTGTTCCTACCTATATGGGGCGCGTCTATGCCCAATATTTTATCTGGGGACAATATTGGATTTATTTAGCCAATATTTAGACTGTATTGGCATAAAATGATTATTTAATATATCATTGCCAATGTTTATTCAAGGTTGTTCCTATATTGGCATATTATTTTACGCCATTATATCATTAACTATATATAGTTAACGATGCTTTCGGATTTATAAAAGTGATATGTAACGACACACGTTTGTTTCCAGGATATAATAAGTTAAGTTGGGGGGTGGCGCAACCCACTACCATCCTTATTGTTTAGCACCAAATGGGTGAAAAAAATAAAGGCCATTCTTTGCAGAAATAACGTTATTACGTTAATAAAGCTTAAGCTGATCATTTTAGCACGCGATACAAACGATTTTAGCATTTAATCGTAATTAAGAATAACATAGATGGTACACGACTTGTCTTATTTTTAGATTTTTTCAAAGAATTTGGAGGGTAGGTACATTTTATATCAAGTAACCCCCCTCTCCCCCTTATCATTTGGGTATGCATTGTCACCGGCCCCCCCGCTTCTACGCCCCTAAGTACCTATAGGTATAGTATACTATAAACATTTCCTGAAAACAAACGTTTGTCGGCACGATCGTGACATATCAGTGATATGATATCACTTTTAGAAATCCTACTATAGTAGTACGTAGTAACTACTATAGGCGGCTATCTTTTTTTTCTTTCAATTTCTCCCTCAACTTTCCTAGAATATAATGTAAAACAACGGTTATATAAAGTCAAACAACTTCGGGCCAATGTTGGGTTTCAATATTGGACCATGCTAGAAAAAATCTGACGAAAGATATTTTGGCCCAATATTATTACGAATATTGGGCCAATATCTTTGTGCTACTGGGGAAGCTTTGAGGTAGGTACCCCAGAAGCGATAATCTTCTTCCATTAAAAAAAATATGGATTTGCTTTTGGTGCTTCCTTATATAATAATAATAATAAATGTTCTTTATTGAAAAAAATACATTTTTCCAAATGGCCATTGACTTTCGTCCTTCAGCCGGCTTCCTTATATATTTTTTATAAAAAAAATTAAAAACAATTAAAAAAAAATATCTCTAATTTTTTTCCTATCCGCAAAAAGACTTTTCCATAAAAATAATAGTTTATTTTTCATGTGTAAAATTGTTGTTATATCAATTACTGGTGCGTATTTGGAAAATCAACAAGTTTAAAGCGTGTCATCGCGCACCACCTCCCGTAGCGATTGGCTCGTCGCGCACCAACTACATCTCCCAACCGACAGTGAACACAAACAGAACCAATAGCAGGGGTCCCCTAGTCCGACCAATCCAAAGCCAGGATTTTCCGCCTTCCGCAAGACTCCAAAGAATGGCCTACTGCGTGTTCAGTCCAGCTGTGAACACCGGGAGAACAAGTCACCCTAGAGCGAGCTTACCGAGTGTTGAACTATTCGAGACTATTGCTTCCAGTTTTATTTATACGGGCTTTTTCCAAGTTCTTTATCGAGTGTAATTTTCGTCTGAATTAGATTTATGGACATGATTTTGGTGAATATTTGACAAGACATTTTAAGTGATTATTTGACTGTTGAGTGTAAAAAACAAAGTGAATCATGATTAACGCGTTCATGGACACTGGTCACCACCATTTGACCCCGTACGGGCTCAAAATGAGTCCTGGTCACAACGGTGGGGGTGCGACAATCCCGTCGCCGCACCAGAACCCGGCGGCAGCTATGACGGCGCCTGAAGTAGGCTCCGGCCCTCAAAACCACCATTTCCAAGCCAACTACGGCCACATGGGCCATCTTAACCCTCACGCAGGCTACGCCGCCCGCGATTTTCTCCTCCGCCGCGACCACCACGAGTTTCCGACGGCACAGACCGCCCCAAGTGACCCAGTGCTATTTCACCACCACACGGAGATGCCGCCGCACCACAACCCGCACCTCGCGCCTCACCACCAAATGCTCTATTCCCGTACAGATCACCATGCGGCTTATCACCCCCAACCCAATCACCACCAGTACCTAAATCCGCACATGGCGATGCCGCATCACCCCACAAACGTCCACGGGGCCTTCTTCAGGTACATGCGGCAACCCGTCAAGCAGGAGATGCAGTGTCTTTGGGTCGATCCCGATCAGCCGCCTCCGCGGAAAACCTGCGGCAAGCACTTCACCAGCATGCACGAAATTGTAACGCATTTGACGGTCGAACACGTTGGCGGTCCAGAGTGTACGACACACGCTTGTTTTTGGCAAAATTGTTCGAGAAATGGAAGACCTTTTAAGGCTAAATATAAGTTGGTTAATCACATCCGTGTGCACACCGGAGAAAAACCATTTCCTTGTCCATTTCCAGGATGTGGAAAAGTTTTCGCCAGAAGTGAGAACCTCAAAATCCACAAAAGAACGCATACTGGTAAGTCATTTTTACTTTATTTCAAAATAATCTGGATTTATAACAAAATTATGCAATTTATTTTGGTCATAACAGTAAAACTTTGATCCACCAATAAATACAAGGTAGAAAGTTTATTACCTTCATATCAAGAAATGCAGTTCCCTTAAAACTCAAATCTCATCCAAGATTAAAATAATAATACTCTATATCTCAATATAAACTACCTTTTTGCAATGAGTTTTATTGCATTTCCGCGAAATCTACCTACAAAATCGGATAAGTATAAATTAGCTTTTAACCTAGTATCTTGAAGGCGTGCTCGGTTGCCAAACCAAACAAAAATGACAATAGCTGTTGTTTGACTAAACAACCGTTCTCAGAATAGGGGTATTCTGTTTCTTTCTTCGAAATTTGAGAACCTATTAAAAACTGATCTTTTCAATACTCTAAACCCTCTGCAATATGAATAGTGGTTACTCTAGTAAATACTTTTTAATTGCGTAAGAACACAAAAATGATCTATATCTCTTAGTTTAAAGTTTATTTATTTTTTGATTTGTTGGAGGTATTTAAAAGACTATTTGTTCAAAATATTTGTTAAAAAAAAGTAAACTCGTTTATAAGAGAAATTTATAAAAAACGTTTCTTTAAACCAAGTAATTCGATTTTGCTTAAGAGCATTTTATACCTGCAAAATTACCTAATACAGCATAAAATCGTAACTCTTTTCATCGGTCCAATTAGACTAGTTCAGTTTATCTGGAAATCTTATGTTGATATTTAGGGCAATTTAAGCCGATTAATCGGTGATTATTTTATTGGGGTCTCTTTAAGAGCCCTCAGAGCCAATGATAAGTGCTCTTCAGCTTTCAGATGTTTAAGCGTCGGCTGTTATCACCGTACAGAGGGTGACACAATGCTAAATCGTTCCACCGTGTCAAAATAGTCGTTAGTCTATTGTTGCAGTATGGTAACTAGATACTCTTGCAGAAAATTAAAGCAGTCGCTGAATAATACATTTTAGTGGGTAAAACTGCTTAGTTTTTGACTGATGTCTGCTAATAAATAAGGCCTGTTTCTCCAAGATTTTCAATTAGGCTGTTTGTATAAACGAATCGGCCATAAAAGCCAGATTAATTACGAATCCACCAAACTGATCGTTGGTCATATTTCATTGGTCTAAGTGGAGAATTAAAACAACTTGGGTGCCGTATAGGCGGGCCCGAAATGTAACCCTGAGGCCCTCAGTAGCTGGCCCATTAGGGACCAGTATAAATATACACCAAGTATTGTCTTATCCTTTTTTTTCGAAGAAGGTATAATTAGACGATTTATCTTTCCTGAACACGTAATTATACGTTGAGGTAAAAATTGACAAGATCATTTTTCTTTTCGCTCGCATTTTGACGAAGGACAGATTTAAATTAATTTCCATTCTTGGGATGCTTTTGGTCACTGAAAAATATCTCTCTCGTAATTGATGGACTGAAAAATTTCCCACTACGTATATTTACATCTTTAATTATCTAAACACATTAGAATATGTGTTATGTAAATTTCATCATAAATCTATATGATGTGAGAAAACCAAAATGTGCCTGTTTAAAATTTAACATTATGATCAATTGGAAGTAAAACAAAATCATACATAATAACACAAAATACTTAGGTACTTACTTTGATATTCAAAAAAAGAAACGGAAAACTAAACACCAATGAAATTTATTTAGTCTTTTTATATCACTGCAGCATAAAATTACAATTAACACGGATACGTACAAATCTTCAAGAGTCATTACGCAATATCCTCTTTAGTTATTGGACCAGAAATTTTCTTCTTGAAGCAAATCAACAACAAAAGACTTTGATACGATTGAAGATTGAGGATTGAATACCTATTGCCTATGATAAGAAGCCGAAAACCGCGGTATTCTAGAAAATATTGGAAGAACGAAAAGTAAGTCAGAGGAAGTTATAGGCAATAGTATAAGTATAAGAGAGAGGATAGATATTGCAATAGAAAAATCTGGCCATCTTTGACAATTGTTCTACTTTATATTGATTGCTTCGTTTATTTACATACAATACCATTAACAGCGAATTTTAGTGATTTCTTAAAATTATATTTGAATTTAAAATTCGCACCTCTAGTATGTAGTTTACCGCGATTTTCCAACCATTAAATTTTTTTAAGGAATTAATAACATATTGGTTATGTATAAACCCGAAAACAGATGTTGCAAATACACTCAAAAGTTGCGTTACAGTACAATAATGATTAACATTACTATTAGAACTGTTTTTAGATTTTATCACTCTTGACGAATATAAAGAAGCCCTTAATTATAAATATGCTTTAAATTTGTTCATATTTTGCCACTAAAATTGCTTCAAATGCGCTCAATATCTGAGGAGTGATTTTTCAAAAGCTCGTATTTCCATTTGCAACAATTTTTCAAAAAAAATGACTATATATATAACCTGTATAGGTTAGGGCAATATAGATTATTTAAAAAAAAATTCTGATGAATATTTAATAATACTTCAGACCTGCTGTCATAATTTGCCGTTAATATATGCCTTTTAACCATAGGTACCTTTGGGATTTTGTCAAAAAATTACATTCAAGTAAAAATGGAAATAAGGCCTTTTGAAAAATCACTCCTCATCTATAAAACCTTTAAAAAGGTAAACAAAGCATAAAAAGCACTTTTTAGTTATGTTGCCCTTCAAAACACTTTTTTCTGATTGTTCTTTTATAATGTGCCCAAGGGGCCCAAGATCATTATTAATAAATAATTATCCTAATAAACATGTAATAAATAGTAATAAACTTAAATATATTTACATATAGGTATGTATATCTAAAAAGATTTTCTAAATTTATATATTTATTATCTACCCCATTGATAAGCTGTGACTTTATCTTGTTTAGTCACGGGCTGAAGTTAGCAACAGTGGCTTTTAGACATTTTAGTCATGGGCTAAAGTTAGGTATATTATAATTTGAGAGAAAGTGAGGTTAAATCCGTTAAAATTTTGTATTCATATTATACATGTTTAATTCTATACAAATTAAAGTGTAGTAGGTATAATTGGCTTCAACAGTATTTTTAACCCTAAACACTTTTGCTTTGTATAAGAGTGTTACTTAATTACTTAGATAATTATTTAAATTAATCCATCTCGTCGGCTTAAGTAATTACTACAAAAACCAGATAACTTCCAAAACACTGTTTTAAGTAATTTGAATTTGTTACTTATTTTCATTTGGTCTATTTACTAAAAATGGAGTTATACCATTTTTTGTTGCTCTCGACATTGATCGGTTTAACCGATTCGGTTATGTTCGTAGTTGAGTTGTGGTTGCAGAAACAATTATAAGCTAAAAAATTTAAAAATGTTTTCTTATTCTTGCAGTAACTTGACAATCTATTTCGTAAAATGCCCCCTAATCAGTAGTCGGCTTAGAGCCAATCTTGTGAGGTAAAATTTTGTATTTAAGCTCTTTAGATGACGACAAGGCTAGGAATAGGTACAATTTATTTGCCTTTTTTTGTTTTATCGTTTGGCCACTTTATAACAATTTTGTAAAAAAAAATATGGAAAACACAAACTTTTGATAAAAAAGTATGGCATCTGGCCTTTTTGTACAATTATTTTGAGATTATTTGTTTATCGTTTGTTTATAATAAAATATTAATATACATAGGTATGAATGTATAATTTTTACAATTTAGCAACAGTATACTATAGGTATACCTATAAGACTATAGTCTTATATTGAATATTAATGTAAATAGTATTTGGCCTCCTTTTTTTACTCTTTTTCGACTTCGAATTAAAATATATAGATAATATAAATAAATATAAATAGTAGCCAAGTTTTAAACTTCAAAAGAATGGTTTTGTTTCAAAGCTTTACAATTTATAGTGACTACCCATTTTTTTAAAGAATATAAGCACTTCCCAGTAGCAGCTCGTGGTCAGTCGAAGTAAGGAGGCTAATTAAGTGCAAGTGGTGTTATTTTTTTAAACGTGTTTGCCATTAAAAAAACTAGTCAATCCACATGTTTTAATTTTTTCAATTGCTTATGTTTTAACCAAACTCCACAAAATGTTAATTAACTAAACGTTAAATTCTTATAAGACTGCCCTAGGAAGACTACCCTAAACACCGTATACTGTATAATTGCTTTTATATGCATATAGGCAACCCGCTTTGTGTCCGGTCGGCCGTGGTCGTTAGATAGCACGGAATCTTCGGATGCGTAGCCTCCTCTGTTACGTAGTTCACTAAGTCCGAATATAAAGCTCGTGGATTAGTATTTTTATTTATTACGAAAAAATATTATTGTTATAATAATTATTAAATTTAATTACAATTTTACTAATAAATCACAAAATAGCTTTTATTTCAAATATTTAAAATTTACCTAAAATTACCTAAAATTTGAAACTAATGAAGTAATTACTATTTTTGGACACAATTGACAATTGTCTCCAAAAAATAATCCTTAAGGACAATTATAATTCTCCTTATATATAAAATTAACAAAGACACTGTGTCGTTTTGCCACTGGACTTAATATTAAGAATCTAAAAGTAATTTAAAAAGCAAAAAACTATTTTTTTATATTGTGTTTTTACATTAGAGACATTTCTGAAAGGTTCTAAGCAATCTTGAGAAATATCGTCAAAAACAAAAATTAAATGAGAGCGAAAAAGTATTTTCCATCATTTCCCAAGTTTAGTTCGGAAAATGTGTTCAAAGTTTGTTAGTTAATCCGGGAACAATCACATCCAGTGCGCCATTTTGTCTGTTGGCAGAGACATGTGAAGGCGATCGATGAGCTTAGGGGATGTTACAAAGGGAAACAAATGCTATCGCTCTTTAAATTCGATGCAGACTTCGGCCAACCAAAATGGTCTCTACACAGTTTGCTTTTACGATACGAATTTTATGATAATTCCTTTAATGAGACAATAATAAAAATTATTTGGTTCTTTCATTCTAA